CTTAGGTTTTTCAACAATGAAGAGAAGAAATGGTGAAATCCACTTACAGGTCTTGGCTCTTTTGCGCGCGGAAGGTGCTCTGTTTGGCCTTGATTGCGAACTTTGCCTCGAATGACAGCAGAAATAACGCAAGAACGAAGGAATGGGAAAGACGAGCTCTGCTTGGCCGAGCAGAAATGACGAAGGAACGGGAGGCGAAGGCAGCGGGCTCCGTTTGGCGTCGACTGCGAGCTCTCCCAGTCCGCCCTAGAAGATTTCTTTCATGGATCGAAAAAATAGGGCTTCTCGTTCGCGGAAAAGGCTAAATAGAACTGACGATTTTATCATTTAATAACCGGACACGCGTGTCCGATTTAAATTTTAATGTTTTAAATTCCGACACTCCAATGCCGTGTCGGACACGTGTCCATGCCGTGTCCGACGCGTGTCCGTGTCCGACACTGCATACCCTCTTTAAGAGGCGTGTCGGTGCATCATAGAATGGGAGGTTATTTGTATATTCCATTTTCCTATTTAAGGGGCTGTTTGCTTTTGTTTTAAAAGAGAGTTATGTGATGATTTTTGGAATGAAACCTTTGGATTTTCAATAGCTTGCGAGCTATCCTCTTCGTGTCCGACACTGCATACCCTCTTTAAGAGGCGTGTCGGTGCATCATAGAATGGGAGGTTATTTGTATATTCCATTTTCCTATTTAAGGGGCTGTTTGCTTTTGTTTTAAAAGAGAGTTATGTGATGATTTTTGGAATGAAACCTTTGGATTTTCAATAGCTTGCGAGCTATCCTCTTCGTCTTTCCTATCTTCTTAAACTTCATCTTGGACTTCTATCTTCTTTCTTCTTTCCATGGTAACCCTTCCATTTGTATCTGTCTTCTCTTTAAAAATTTGTAAGTTGCAAGGCAGTTGCGTCGCATATTGTCCTAATGTAATTTGAGGTGGCTTTTAAAAGTAGTTTTGTTGTGTCTTGTTTAGTGTGTGTGTTTGTCATTTGGAAGGAATACACGTTTTTGTTTGCAATCTTAATTTTTTTTATTGCATCAATTTAGTATCAGAGACTCTACGTTGTTGTTCTAGTTTTCCTTTCTTCTTAAAAAATGGACGATCATGATATAATATAATATGTTGTTGTTGAAAACCAGCCAAGTGATCTTGAAGTCCAAATTCCAAAAAGCAAATGGGTCCCGTCCCAAGGAAATTCTACCGATCCAATCCAGAATGAGCTATACAAAATTCAAGAAAAAAATGTACTTTTGTGTAGAAAAATATGAGAGTAAGAAGCATTTACTTATAGCCGAGTTTAATCGAGAAAAGAAGATGATCAAAAAGTACGCTGCTTTGATTCAGGAGTTAGATATGGATCAGTCTGTGCTTGATGGAGGTTCTAAAGCTTTCTCATCAGGAGATGAGATTTCTCCACCAAGGGAGAAATGATGTAGGCAAAAAATTTCAATTTTTTTTCCTTATTTAGTTATTTATTGGTGGGCTATTTTTTCTTCTATTGGGCTTGCCCCATTTGTCTTTGGCTGCTTGGTGTTTGGAGGTCTCCGCTGATGTGTTTCTTGGTTGTTGGGTTGACTGGCTGCGTGGTTTCTGGGCTGGCCGTGCCTTTCCCTTGGTGTCTGTTGGGTTTCCTGACAGTTTTGTTCTTGGGCTGGCTGTTGGAATGCTGGGCTGCTCGGTTCCTGGGCTAGCCGTGCCTTGTTCTCTGGGGGTTTTCCCTGTTTTGAGTGGATGCTTGGGTGGCACTTATGGGAGGATGTTTGTATTCTATTTTCCTATTTAAGGGGCTGTTTGCTTCTGTTTTAAAAGAGAGTTATTTGATTTTTTGAATGAAACTTTTGAGTTTTCAATAGCTTGCGAGCTATCCTCTTCGACTTCCGTATCTTCTTAAACTTCGTATCGGACTTCTATATTCTTTCTTCTCTCCATGGTAACCTTTCCATTTGTATCTTTCTTCTCTTTAAAAATTTGTAAGTTGCAAGGTAGTTGCGTAGTGTATTGTTCTAATGTAATTTGAGGCGGCTTCTAGAGTAGTTAGAAGCTTTGTTGTGTCTTGTTTAGTGTGTGTTTTCTCATTTGGAAGGAAGACAAGTTTTTGTTTGCAATCTTAATTTTGTTTTTTTTTTATTGCATCAATATTAGATGGAATTATATAAAAATTGGTTTAATTTTAAAAATTCTGATAATTGGGAATTATATAAAGTGGCTCGTAAGGATTCTAAGAAAGCAATATGCGATGCAAAGACATTAGATTGAGTATAAAAATAGTAATAAATAAATTTAGATGAGTTTGAATTGCACAACAATGGATAGAAAACACGCCTGTTTGATTTGTTAACAAAGTTAGTATCAAAGTCTTAGAGATAAAATGGGTCAATATGAGATAACATGAACAGAATTTGTTTAAAATATTTAGTGAATAATAGTTTAATATCTCAGTCATAAATCAACAATGATGAATTGAAAATCATGATTCATAAAGTTGACCACATATGGTTGGGATAATGCTAAGGATAATTATGATTATGATGAGGGCAGGATTGGTAAAACAAAGTTTACATTGTCCTGAATGACGTAGCATATGAACTTAATAATGTTTAATATATAATGTAGTGAGATTAAGATATACGTGAAATGGCTTTAAATATGCTCAACTCTATTATACAAATGAATAAGCGTATAAAAGTGGTTATAAATTGGAGTGTTTTATGTGATTGACTAGGTTACTTTCTTTGTGCTGTTGCTATGCTGATTAGGATGGAATCAATTTCACTGAACTTAATGGAACATTGGAGGGCATGATGTTTACTTGTTCATTGTTATATTTGGATAGGAAACTTTGCTATAATGATAATTTGGGTTAATCTAGTGATCAAGAAAGATATTTTTTAATATCCTACAATGAGGGAAATAGTACTATGTTCCTGCTAGTTGAAGGTGACTCAATTATCTCTTAGCCTTCATAGGTATAATGGGCCAATTGATTGGCTAGAAATTATGGGGATTTATACTTTTTCTGCTCTTGTTGAATTAGTCTAAAATTTTGTGCTGTTGCTATGATCCAATCAATTATGGTTGATCTACTTGTATATATTATTGTAGCTAATTTTGGAAGGATTTGGACCTTTGACCTCTACTCTAGAGATCAAAGGAAATATCACTCAACTAAGTGGTCTGTGGTTTCTTGTAATAAGATGGATTTTTTGGCATTTCTTGAAAACATTTAGGTTCTTAAAAAATGATGAGTTCTTTGAATTATGTGTTGGAAGAATATCATTGTGGTACTTCAGTTAAGTATGAATTTATACTATCTATGTTGTGTTAATCCTATTTTTGGGTATCAAGCAAATTGATAATAACTAAATTATTTGTGGAAATGATTAGAATGCTAAGATTTATGATATGGACAAAGAAGCGGCTGAAGTAGGTTCTAACGAGGATACAATTATGTAGTATGGCTCCCAGCGTTTGACCAAGGAATGTAAAAATTAACCATATGGGGTAAGATAAATATGAATGGCTTTGATCGAAGGTAATTTGATTTGAGTTGAGAGTTTAGACTCATTGACTAATGATGATAACATACTCAGTATTAATAAAGTCTACCGCAAATGATTAGGAGAAGGGTGATAATAATTATGGCTTCATTTGGTAATGCTCTGTTGTGCTATATGAAGCAAAGTCACTGCTACTTATACATAAATGGATAATCTACTATGCTGTTGTGTTGCTCATAGTCATAAAGCCATGTAGGAGATGCACACATATTACGTTTCTGCATGAGTGGAAGTTGGGATTTGTTAAACTTTTGAAAGAAAAACAAGTGCAAAGCATTCCCAAGAGAAGACGAAGTTGTGAATAAAGACTTGCTTAAGCTAAAATTAACAGCATGTATAACACTCAAGCCCCCACGTAGTGGGACAAAGGCTTGATGTTGTTGTTGTTGTTGTATAACACTCAACAAAAGTGAATTGTAAAAGAGAATTCATATTGTCAACTTAGAAAAAATTGGAAGGTCAGTGTTAGCTAAGGTGATGGATAGGGAGATGCTTGAGAAGGAAAGCTTGAAAATCATAAAGATGAATCCATAGATGAAAGTACATTATGTACCATTAATCAACTTATTTTTTGTCAGATTCATTGATCAATTATTGTGTTCCCAAGAGTGTCCTCTATGAGGATGTTTATTGGCTATTGGAAGTCCCTTGATTAAAAAAATTATAGTAATTTTAATTTTCTAGTTAAAATTATGTTTATAAAATTTCTGAAAATCTCGTTCTTTTTATTTATTTTATATAAAAAATATTGTTATTTCTAATCATGGGCAAGTTCTTTTGTTTATTTTATATGAAAACAGCTTTTTGCTTAGAATTCTCTTTTTTTAAGAGTTGAAAATCTTAAACCTGTTCCTCCTAAGAATGATGGCTTGATTTGTAAAAGTGGTTGAGCCATACTAATAATTCATCTTGTTTTCCCTTAATCACGCTGAAAGGCTTGAGCTAAAGATGAAATTGGTCCCTGGTAGAATACGGTTGAATGTACCTTATTTTTTTTCCATAGCAATTGGAGAATTAGAATACAGTGGGCATGTATTGTTAGCTTTTGAAACGATTCTTATCAGGCAGACATACAATGCTCCTTTTTTCATGATTATTCATATGCTTGTTAGCAACCTTTTTTTACTAACATTGTGCATATAATTTTATTGAGCATTATATGGCATTTGGTTTTTATAGTCATTCTGTGGTAAAGCTTTGACTTAAGAAACTTAAGTGTTTGATTTCTTATATTTTCCCACAAGGAATTGCTTGGACCTGTCTTTTATTTTTTTTATTAAAGGTTCATTGAAATGAGGTTTACGGCTGAAATGAACACAAATAATATTCCATTTGATCTATGAATTGAACTTCATGTATTTCTAACACCCTGCAATATGACTAATTCGTCAAATAGACTGTATTTTACCAAGTTTCATATCAAATTCATCTTATTCTTTTTTAGGGCATTTTTTGGAGTCCAACCAGCAAGGGATATCATGAAGTCCGATGAAACATATGTTATTTCCCAAAGGGCTTTTCTCCAAGAAAATTTTGATCTGTTATTCAGCAGGGATGGAATCATTAGAATTTTGGAAATTTACACAGAATTGGATGATGGGTATATGACTGTGATGAGTTTGCTATTTGAGAGAGGTGAGGTCGCAAAGATGCTGGATTTTCATAGAAATTTGGCCGAAAGGGGTCTTTTACCGAGAATTTATGATGTTAATCGATTTTTGAATGGCTTATGCCGCACGGGGAATCAAATTTCTGCTGCTTTTGATTTGTTCTGCTTGGTCTTGGAGAAGGGTCCAGAACCCACTGTGGTCACCTATAGCATATTAGTTCGTTCTTTTTGCTACCAGGGTAGATTAGATGATGCATCTAGAATTTTTGAGCTGATGTTAAAAAAAGGAATTAATCCAGATTTGATAATGTATTCTATTCTGATTGATGGGTTTTGCAAGGAGGGTCGAATGGAGGAGGGAACTCAAATACTTGACAGGGCCTTGAAGTGTGGGATTAAGCCAGATGTTGTTGTTTTCAGTTCTCTTATGGCTGGCTATGTTAGAGTTGGGAATATGTTGCAGGCCTTCAAGCTATTCAAGGAAATGTTGAAGGACGGAGTGACACCTAATGTTGTCAGTTATAGCACATTGATGAATGGATTAAGTCAGAGCGGTCACATTCTTGAAGCATGTGGAATTTTTTCAAGGATGCTGAAGCAAGGACTTGAGGCAAATGTTTTAACCTATAACAGCCTTATAGATGGGTTTTGCTACTTGGGTGATTTGCGAGAAGCTTTTTGTGTGTATGATCATATGATGAGCAGCCCTTGCGCACCAGATGTGGTTGTAAATTGTTTGCTTGTTAAGGGTCTCTGCAAAATTGGGAGGACAGTGGACGCTCTTAGGTTTCTTCTCAAGACAGTTTCGGAACCTAACAGCATGGTTTATAACGCTTTGATTGATGCGTGGTGCAGATTGGGAAAATTAGGTAATGCCTTGAAAACTTACAGGTTATTGATACTGCATAACCTCGTACCAGATGTGGCCACCTTCACATTGCTTATCAAAGGCATGGAAAATGATGGGAAGTTTCTTGAAGCAGCCATGCTTTTCTTCAGGATGATTAAGACGGGTTTTAATCCGGATACCATAACATATTGCGTATTGATTGATGGCCTCTGTAAGAACAAGAATGTGTTGGCCGGAATGAAGATGTGTGACATGATGCATGAAAACAACACTCATCCTGATATTTATGTTTATAATGTTTTCATGAATGGTCTTTGCAAGGAAGGAATGGTCGATGAGCTGCCAAAGCTTCTTGGGAAGCTCTTTCGAAAGGGTTTGAAACCTGATATTGTGACTTACAACACTATGATGAGTGGTTTTTGTTCTGTGAAAAAAATAAGTAAAGCTATTGAGCTTTATCAGACCATGTTGAGAGAAGGTCTTGAGCCTACTGTTATCACCTATACAATTCTGATTGATGCCTTCTGTAAAGAAGGCCAGCTGGATGAAGCGACGCTATTTTTTAATGTGATGCTAAAGCAGGGTTCTGTGCCTAATGTTGTAACTTACAGCTGTTTGATGGACGGCTACTTCAAAATGCAGAAGATGGAAAATTCAATTGCTCTTCATGAAGAAATGTTAAGAAATCACATCTCCCCAAATATTGTTAGTTACAGTGTCCTTATTGATGGCCTTTGCAAGGAGGGTCATTTGGAGGAAGCTTCACAAGCTTTTCATGATGCTCTTAGATCAGGATTGTTGCCTGATGTTGTGGCCTATGGAATTCTTATTCACGGGTGTTGCAAATCTGGACAATTAGATAGAGCAATTATGCTTTTTGATCAGATGTTAGTGAAGGGTGTGAAGCCTGATGATCTTATACATTTTACTCTTGCAGAATGCCTCCATGGAGAGGCTCATCCAGCATATAGTAGTGAATTACTCCAATTGCTTTCAAAGAGAGATTTCAGGAGAAAATAAGAATATGCTCTTATTTCTAGATTACTGTAAAGATTCAGTAAATCAGATTAATGTAAAGATTCATCTAAATTGTTCCTTACTCCTTGCATGAATGGGAATCCTTTTTTTTAGATGGACAATTTGACTCACAGGATAAGGACAAGGGGCATTGGTATCATGGCTGGATTTCAGGTTCTTTGCCAGAACAAAAGCATGAAATTTTGAACCATTGCGTTCAAATTGATTGTAACAGCCAGGAATGATGCACGAGTTCATGAAAATTGCACATATAATTCGTAACATTTTATACATTTATTTGTGTTTATATATGCACAAATATATGAGAATGGGTTTACATATAAATATTTTGTTGAATTTGAGTTGGATCATCTAATTGTAAACAATCATGGATAAAATTCATGGAGAGTTAGATAATGGTTGTCTTACAGTCTTACTGTTGTATTGCAAAGAAATTATTTTTATTGGATAAGTAATGTAAGGATTAAAATTCACCAATTCAGAGTTATAGAATGAGTTAGAGGCAATCCATATGAGAATTATAATAGTTATGTTTGAGTGTTATATAATTTTTTTGAGTAGTTTTTGCATGTGTCAAACAAATCATATTGTATGATTTGTTTATAATTTCAGTAAAAACTTTTTAAGGATTTTTTTTGACATTTAATATAAATACTTAGACTCTAAAACAAGAGTGCTTAAAAAACCTAAGAGAAAGAAAGGGAGAGTATTTGGTTTTGGGAAAGATTTTATTTTTTTGGTTTTAATTTGAAAACCCTAAAGTGTGAGATGCCATTATATGAGTGTACTAATTAGGTTATTTTTCCCTCCTCTTTTATCTTAATCCTCTAGTTAAGTTATGAGGCTTACTGAGAGCTTGTTCTACTAAATAGTATTAGGAATCAGTGAGATTTCAAAACTTGTTTTGATGAGGATAGATTTTTTCAGATTATTATCATAAATGTTTAATCCTATTAAATGAAATATTTTAACATATGAAATGATAACAAAATTTATCAATGATAGAAATAACTTAATTTTAGCATCAAACCATTAAAAAATTCAAATTCCCCTAAATTTTAAAACAACAAAATCATGCATTAAAACCCTCAGGTGATTCTATATGCTTCTATATTAACTAACATTTGAAGACAATTATCTTCATGTGGGAAGAAATTTAGAGCCTTAAAATGGGGCAAAAACTTTCACAAACAAATTTGGTTCTTATGAGGATAATTGACAAATTTTCCAAGAACAACTAATAGCCTCATTATAGGGCATCATACTTTCAAAGGGAAGATCAGAGCCTCACAATAGGAACTACATCATATGGATTATGAGTTTCAACATCTTTCAATTGTTTTTCTATATGTCAAGGTGGTTTCTATAGATCCAAGAGAGGAAAATCTAATTTATTTTGGGATTTATCATGATTTTTTTTTTGGAATTATTAGGCTAATTTGGATTTCTTTTAATTTTTAAAAGAATAAACAAGAAATAGAATTAAAAAGAATTGTTATATAAGGCATCTTATCCCCCATGGGTTTGCAATATGCTATCTTATTGAAGTTGGTGACCAAAAAAACTTGTGCCAAAAGTTGTGTAGGTGCACCCATTGGCGGCATCGACAACACTATGATCATTTGCTTTAGGCCGGTTTGATTGCCAACTTGCGTCTGGGCTTAATTTTGGGCCTAGATAAGTCTTTTTCAACATTCCAGTCCCTAGAACCACTTTTACATGTTTTAGATTAATTGCTAACACTTTTGAAGCCCAACTAAGCCTCTACAACTAGTCTCAAGCGATTTCGACGACGTTGGAGTGAAATTCTTTTTACAGTTTTTGCTAAAATAGTCATGCCAACGTAAGAGAAGGTAAATTTATAATTATGGATATTCTAATTGGTTCAGTATCATGAGGGTGTCCATGCTGGCAACTAAAGAATGATTATGACTCATAATTTATTTTAAAATTATAATTTTACACAAACAATAAATACTTTTAAAGATTAAATAATATTTTTGGACAACATAGATTTTAGGGGTGTAATTTTTGGACAGCGACCCAAATCTCGACCCGGAAAAATCCGTGGTTCGTGTCAAGCCCTGAGAAACGGTCAGGTTTCAGGTTTTAACAAATCAATCAGTTTCAAAAGTTGTGGTCGGGTTCGGGGACCCCGCCCTGAACCGATAGAACAGTTGCCCGACTCCACCGTGCGTGTCTCGTCAAGTCTGGACTTGCGTCGCAGTCGCGTGACTTGGAAAACAGTCGCAGTGCGCCACGCCGTCCTTTCGTGCGCTGCCGCGCGCTGGCTGCTGCCTAAACCTAATTTTAAAAAAATCGGTTCCAGGTCGTGTGAGAAAGCCAACTCATTTGTAAAACAGTCAGGTTTGGATTGACCCGTTTAGAGCCGGGTCAACTCGAGTTCACCCGACCGACCCGTTACCGAATTGACTACCCCTAATATCCTTTTGCCCTCCTAAATCAGGAGGCAATTGAATAAATCAATAAAAATATACTTGCCCGAATTTACGATCTCAAATAATTATTTGAATTGCAAACTCTAAAATTAATTTCGGACCATATAAATTTTGATTAAAAATATAAGTAAAAAAGAACATAAAAAAACATCTTGAATGAGATAAATGCATTAAAAACAAGGCCTACTATGGGCTGGATATATTATATCATCAAAATAAAGATTATGAAGTCCTTAAAGAGATCGAAAAGCTTAATAAATGTTCAAAGAGCTACAACAAAACAAAAAAAATAGATCATCAAAAATTATCTTGATCGGCACGAATCTCGATGCAAAATCAAATTGTAAGCTTTCGAAATTAAATATATTGGAACCTAATCAAGAATCGATTTCGAAAACTTATAGTTGAACTGAGCGTTGAAAGTCGAAACAACGACACCAAATTCATCCAATCCGAGCGCCACAGGTCATTCAAGGACCCGAAGTGATTTGGAAGTTGGAAAATAATGGGGTTTACGGAAAACGTTTTCAAACATGAAATGCTATATAGTCGAATGAGAAACTCGACAAAGACATAACTCCAACACGAGCCCATGAAATCACCGAATTCTGACATCAATTAAGACCTTTAAATGTCTACGAACGGTCCGAGATCAAGGGATTCAAGTATGTACACGGGTCACATAATCTCATGAAACCATAATCCATCCGATTTACATTGATGCTCTCATCAGTTATGGCCATGCACACTCTAAGAATTAGGTCGTAGAATAGTGAAGCTCTTCATTTCTGTTGAAAGGGGGAACTGCAAAGCAAGAAGAGGAGAATGAGAAGAGAAAGGAAGAAAGAGAAGGAAGAACTCATATTCGGACAGACCACTGGCTGTTTGCGGACCACCACTTGAGGCGCATCGCCTTTCGCTGAACCACAACCACTGGAGGCACTCACCTTTGTACGACACTCCACTTGAGGCCCTCTACCTCTGCCAGACCACCAGCCTTGATGTTGTAATGCTCGCACGGAACTAACCACATGGGCCTTCAACCTCTATCGGATCACCGCTGACATCGTTGCTCACCGAACCAACCACTGAGCCCTGTGCTGCCACCAGGCCAACCACTTGAGCCCCGACTGTCCTCCACCAGGCAATACCCTATAAAGGCCATTACTTCGCTCTAGACCATTCGCCTGACGTCGTTTCTCCGTTCGGACCACCATCCTAAGGCACGGACACCGTCCGTTGATACTACCACATGAGCCCGAACTTCTAGCTGATCACCACATAGGTTCTACAGAATTTCTGCACCAGACCACTTACTTTTGAGTGGACTTTCCATAGACCACAATCTGACGCCAGAATTTTGCCAAGACAACTACCGAGGCTAGATTTTACAAGACACAATCACCTGAGGCCTCAAACTTCTAATCAGGATACCAGAGCCTGGATGCAAGAGTTCCTAGCCAGAGTACTCGGCCTATCTATCAACGATCTTTCTGACATCGGGGTATCGCTGCATTATTTGGGTCCTTCGACCTCCATTGCCAGATAATGGTTTTTTGACCCGGTCTCCTGCTTACTAAACGGTCTTGTCGGATCCCTGTTCCTGTCTGATTATGGGTCCTTTTAACCTCCATGCACCAAAGATAATGACCTTTCTGACCGTGGTCTCTTGCATATAAGCTATGGTATTTTCCCTGACTTCTATCCCATCGACTATTGGTCTAGGCAGAATGCGAGAGACAAACACACATGTTATGTAATCCACCATGTAATAGCTGCTATTGTATATGATTGATTTGTTACGTTGTGTGCACAGATTTCAAAAAGCCAGGCACTTTTATCATAGAGAAAGAGAGCGACAATTTTTGATATAAGACATATCCGAAATACTTTATGTTTGGATTCCCATATTAATAAGGCCTAGGCCCACTGCATTTTCCCCATATCAGGGGGTTATTCCACGACAAAACTCTGTTTGTCTCTTATGAATGATCTTACTATCCCTCATCTCTCTTATCTGCTTTGTGATGCTGGAGTCTTTAGTACAACGCTTAAGTATTAAACTATATATTTCCTACAACCTGAAAGTTTGTTCTGGGGCAAATTCTAGGACTCAACAAGAAAGTATGAGAGTCTAAGATCCCTTACTGTATACAAAATAAATTGAAAATGGAATGGCATGGTGCAAGACCCCAAAAATATCCAAAATGATTAACATCGATGCTCAAAACTTGTTAACTTATAGCCATAACTAGCCGAAACCAACACCTATCTCCATTGCCTACATGATCTCCCTATCAGAATAATATAGGTTATTAAGTTTTAATTATTAATTTATTATATAGATAAAATAATGCTTATTTTTGATACTTATAATATTATAAATCTCATTATTGTTACTTATATATATATATAGTAATAGATTATATATATATATATATATATATAGTATAGTATAGTATATATAAATATTAAAAGAGAGGGGAAAGAGATAAAAAAAAGAAGGAAAAAGAAAGTAAGAAGAAGAAGAAGAGAAGAAGA